AGCAACTGAACTCTGCATCCATTGCCGCAGGCATTGCAAGTTCGGTATGAACTGAATGTGACGATTTTTTTAGCCCCTACACTTCAGTGCAATGTTTAAGGCTGCCCTTAGGTGAGGGAGGTCTGCCCGAAGTGCCTCCATATACGCCTTGTCCTGCTTGGCATCTGAGGTTTGAGGTTGGGGCTGAGTAGGAAGTTCTGGAACCTCCAGCCTCCAACAAGTGCGGGACAAGAAGCATGTTCCGGTTCGCACGGCCATGAGCATTGCCGTGTCATATCGCTACCTCTTGCCTAGGTTTGGAGCAAGAGGTTGCAAGCGCAAGCGTTGCACCTCAGAGTTGATGACCTGGGATCCAACTGACTGCTTGTTGGATGCACGCTACGGGTCCTTCACATATTGGATGTGCACGTGTTCATAGAGTTGAGCACTGAAATGCTCTGGAATGCTTGCACGCTTTATCGAGGCGATAAAGTGGCTCACCAGATGTGCCTTAATGCACTCATAAGGCCACTGAGCATCTTTTCGGCCCGATTTTTCAGGTCCCGAAGTGATGCATCAGTGTGTTCGCTTACATGTGCACAGTGCAGGTACCACTCGATGTATGCAATCAATGCATCCATCTGTGGCTGTGTGACAAAAGATGTCACAAGAAAAGGCAGCATCTGCATCATACTTCTTTGCTCATACGCCTGGTAGTTAGCACCTCTTGAGAAGTATGTGCCAGCTGGCAGGCGCATGAAAGAGTTACGCGTTATGCTCCATAAATACTTTAGGCGCCTATCCAGCAATTTCCATCGCACATCGGTCATTTTCGTCGCGGGCATATCTCCACCTTGTCGAATGCATTAGACAATGTGTTCTTACAAACCCAAATCTTCTTGATGACAGTTATCACACAAAGGTATGGGTTGAGGATCTGTTCAGATTCCCACCTCCAACCCCACAAGCAACATTCCACTGAATGCATGGAGAGGTAATCATGCTTTGTTGCATCGAATTCGCCGCTCTTCATAAGCGAGTACAGAGTTCGATGCACATGCCTAAGTCTAAGCTTGAATTGTGCAAACTTCTCTTGCCGGGTGAGGCAAATGGAGCATGGTCGCTTGCATCCCAAAGATTTTGTGCATGTGATTTTGCACTATTCGGGGTAGTCACAGACATATGCATACAATGCTGGCCACGCATTCAGCTTCTTTTCTATTGGGGGACTTCACATTGACAGCAGTATGTGATGCGCGTTTTAGAGGACCGAAAACTTGGTTACGCACATGTTGGAATACCATGAGCTTATCCAAGGAGTCATTCTCGGGTGTAAATTCCGGAAGATGGGCAAGAAGTACGTGGCCATACTTCTTCCACCTCTCCGCTCTCAACATGTTGCATAAGGTCATGTACAGGGGATGACCCTTGGCTTTCCCACGCTGATCCATGTGCGTCTCATCCGACGCAAGTATTAACGCGGTGACAAAGTTGTCGACAGCCTGATTGTTGTACATGGGCATCACTCCTTGGGTCTGTGGTGTAGCTTCCTTTACAATTTTACCCACCAAAATTCGGACCAGTGAGCAAGTCCTTCAAAGCTTGAATCGCATCACAATAGTGATACTCAAGCCATGGCTTTGTCCCAACTCTCACCCTGGCTATTTTCCTGTTTCTCAATGAGTCAGGGAGCCTCAAGTCAGCGTACTTCTCAACATCACGAATGCTGTTCCACTCCGTTAGCTCAGACAGTTTGGAAGATGCATGCCCAAGGATTGCTAGGAGAGTGGCTATCTGGCTAAGTGATAGCTCTCCTGTCAACAACCAGTGAGCCAACGCATCCCTGAAGTTGAAAGGGATGTCCTCATCCACAGAAACAGGCATGCCCCCAACCCCATCATCATTCCCCACCATCTCCCCCTCCCCTTCAGTATAATCATTAGCAACAGGTACATTACATGGTGTAAATTCTTCATCCTCCTCGCTATCCGAGCTAGATGCATTGTCACGGTCAAAACCTGGGACAAAATCAGGTGGCACCATGCCATCCTGGAGATCATACCTAGCATATGGGAGATGGTTTTTAGGGTCCGTGAGGTTGTATTCTGGTGGCGGCATTACCGAGACTTGTGGCCGCGGTAGAAGGAATTGGCTGCGAGGGCCCGCAGCCCCCTGGACGTGTGCAATCTGCCGTACACATTTCCTACTGCGCACGTGTGCCTGTGTTGTGTCGAACAACAAGTTATAACATGTTCCACATCTGTAAGACATCTGGATTGGGATGCAAATGAGGGAGAGGAGTAGAGAGGGAGGGCTAGAGAAGAGGGAGAGGAGTAGAGAGGGAGGGCGTGAGCGTGCGTAGGGACCTGGGAATGGGGATGGGGCGCGAGAAACAATGCGGGTGCACAATACGGCATGCGGGAGTGAAGGAGAACGTGCGGGAAGGCCGAGCGCAGGAGCGAGGGCGCGGAAACTGGGAAGAATGAGAGCCGGCGGGCGCGGACATAACAAACAGAGCGATGGCGCTGGTGCGGGAACACCGTGAGAGCGAACCGCAGGCGCGGCGACGGCGACAGATGAGGCACGGGAAGCAGTGAGAGGGAGGGCAGTGGTGCGGCGACGGCATGAGATGAAGCGCGGGGAGCAGAGAGAGGGAGGGCAGTGGTACGGTGACGGCTTGATATGAGGCGCGGGGAGCAGTGAGAGAGAGGGCAGAGGTGCGGCGACGGCGTGAGAGGGTAGGCACGGGAAGCAGTGTGAGAGAGGGCAGCGGTGCGGCAACGGCGTGAGAGGATGCGCGGGGAGCAGTTAGAGGGAGGGCAGTTGTGCGGCGACGGCGACAGATGAGGCGCGGGGAGCAGTGAGAGAGAGGGCAGAGGTGCGGTGACGGCGTGAGAGGATGCGCGGGGAGCAGTGAGAGGGTGCAGTGATGGCGTGAGATGAAGCGTGGGGAGCAGTGAGAGGGAGGGCAGTGGTGCGGTGACGGCTTGAGATGAGGCACGGGGAGCAGTGAGAGAGAGGGCAGAGGTGCGGCGAAGGCGTGAGATGAAGCGCGGGGAGCAGAGAGAGGGAGGGCAGTGGTGTGGTGACAGCTTGATATGAGGCGCGGGGAGCAGTGAGAGAGAGGGCAGAAGTGCGGCGACGGCGAGAGATGAGGCATGGGGAGCAGTGAGAGGGAGGGCAGCGGTGCGGTGACGGCGTGAGAGGATGCGCGGGGAGCAGTGAGAGGGAGGGCAGCGGTGCGGCGACGGCATGAGAGGATGCGCGGGGAGCAGTTAGAGGGAGGGCAGCGGTGCGGCGACGGCGACAGATGAGGCGCGGGGAGCTGTGAGAGAGAGGGCAGAGGTCCGGCGACGGCGTGAGAGGATGCGCGGGGAGCAGTGAGAGGGAGGGCAGCAGTGCGGCGATGGCTTGAGAGGAGGCGCGGGGAGCAGTGAGAGAGTTGGCAGCGGTGCAGTGACGGTGTGAGATGAAGCGCGGGGAGCAGTGAGAGGGAGGGCAGTGGTGCGGTGACGGCTTGAGATGAGGCGCGGGGAGCAGTGAGAGAGAGGGCAGAGGTGCGGCGACGGCGTGAGATGAAGCGCGGGGAGCAGAGAGAGGGAGGGCAGTGGTGAGGTGACAGCTTGATATGAGGCGCGGGGAGCAATGAGAGAGAGGGCAGAGGTGCAGCGACGGCGAGAGATGAGGCGTGGGGAGCAGTGAGAGGGAGGGCAGCGGTGTGGCGACGGCGAGAGATGAGGCGCGGGGAGCAGTGAGAGGGAGGGAAGAGGTGCGGCGACGGCGTGAGAGGATGCGCGGGGAGCAGTGAGAGGGAGGGCAGCGGTACGGCGACGGCTTGAGATGAGGCATGGGGATGTCACCAAATAACTAATCGATCATGCCAAAAAAGGCAGGCAGCAGGACCAGCCTGTGTGGGGTAAGGAGGGGTGCGACTACGCTGCAACAAGAGAGCAAGCTACCTAGAGAGTAGGAGGCTCACCTTAAGAGTCATCGAGAGGAGCACCACGGTGATACGCGGCAGAATCCCGCACGCAGTCTAAGCCAGCGAGGGGCGGGCCACGGCCGACTATTAGGGCAGTACTGGCAGAGAGAGCAGAAACGAAACCCGCAAGAGAGCAGGCCTTATAGCTGAATCCGAGTTAGAATCGAAGTACAATGAGCAGGCACGGGAATTGGTGCTGTGGAGTTGAATGTGAAACAGAAACCAGCAAAGGAGGGTGAGAGGATATGAGCTAGAAGAGGTGGCGAAAATTGCGAGGCCTTGGCGATGGGAAGGAACGCTGGGTGGGCGAACTTCGTCAGTAGCAAAAATTCGCTCGCAAAGGGGGGGGATTCGGCACTCGGGAAATTACCGAAGCGCACATGCCGTGCAGCGCGGAGGAAAAGCAGTGCAGACATGCGTCTCGCAAATATTTTGCACAGGCAAGCTAAACACTGCGCAACGGATACTGAAATAAACGGGCAAACGAGTCAAGGCAGTCGTGACTCACGTTAACGAACCCTCTCTCCTTAAGGAATACTCGTGTACAATTGAACTAACTCGTTAATAGACCAAGTTGAACGAAACCGCAAGAAACACAACAAAAGGGAGTGTGATGGACAATTCAAACAGTATTAAATTCCAATTATAAGTATCTGACAACAAATCGACAAAAAAACACGTCATTCATATGCATCACAAACAAAATCGGCTGATGGATCCGGAGAAATGTACACACACACATGTTACAGAGTAAAATAATATGACATACGTTCGTATAATTACTCTTGTAACACTGGAAGCGTTACACTGGAAGCGTTATAATTACTCGTATAACACTGGAAGCGCTTGCGAAGTTGAGATCATAAGGACAATGTTGCACAGACATGTAACAGCTACAAATAACAAAACAACATCATTTAACGGACCCACCCATAGCACAGCGCGCTGGAGCAAAGCCCCGAACGTTCATGACGGAACAGCGGCCGTGCCTGCTGAAGTCCCGAACTTCACGACAGAAGGAACAGTAGCCGCTGTAGCTGTACACCAACCCAGACCTTCAAGGCCCGCAACTCAGCATGCACGGTGACATTCCGCCGCAAATAGTCTTTTTCATTCCCTCCTCATGCATCGACATTCATTCCCACTTCTACCCCGCCCCACGTGCCTGTGACCTCGTCCCGACTGGTTTCGGCCATTCCACATTTTTGCGATGTGCGCGCTACCCGCAGCCCGTGAAACGCTTTCCCCTCTCCCCGCTCGCACGTCCCACTCCCTGCTTCCCGCTGCGCTCGTCCCTGCCTTTCCCCTAGCATAGTATCCCTGCCATGGTTTGAAGGTTTGTTTTTATCCATGGGATGGCATGGTTGGGCACGGCGCGGCATGGCATGGCATGGCGCGGCGTGGCATGGTGTGGCATGGAATGGCACTACACGTGATGGCATGGCATCAGATGCGCATTGGGGTTCACAAGGCAGTGATGCGAGGCGGGCTCTCATCATCCCCGGTTCAGACAAGGGGGGAGGCGAGCTCAAACAAGGGGGGAGGTGAGCTCAAACAAGGGGGGAGGCGAGCTCAGACAAGGGGGGAGGTGAGCTCAAACAAGGGGGGAGGTGAGCTCAATCAAGGGGGGAGGTGAGCTCAAACAAGGGGGAAGGCGAGCTCAGACAAGGGGGGAGGTGAGCTCAAACAAGGGGGGAGGTGAGCTCAAACAAGGGGGGAGGTGAGCTCAGACAAGGGGGGAGGTGAGCTCAAACAAGGGGGGAGGTGAGCTCAATCAAGGGGGGAGGTGAGCTCAAACAAGGGGGAAGGCGAGCTCAGACAAGGGGGGAGGTGAGCTCAAACAAGGGGGGAGGTGAGCTCAAACAAGGGGGGAGGTGAGCTCAGACAAGGGGGGAGGTGAGCTCAAACAAGGGGGGAGGTGAGCTCAATCAAGGGGGGAGGTGAGCTCAAACAAGGGGGGAGGTGAGCTCAATCAAGGGGGGAGGTGAGCTCAAACAAGGGGGGAGGTGAGCTCAGACAAGGGGGGAGGTGAGCTCAAACAAGGGGGGAGGTGAGCTCAAACAAGGGGGGAGGTGACCTCAGACAGGGGGGGGAAGGTGAGCTCAGACAAGGGGGGAGGCGAGCTCAGACAAGGGGGGAGGCGAGCTCAAACAAGGGGGGAGGTGAGCTCAATCAAGGGGGGAGGTGAGCTCAAACAAGGGGGAAGGCGAGCTCAGACAAGGGGGGAGGTGAGCTCAAACAAGGGGGGAGGTGAGCTCAAACAAGGGGGGAGGTGAGCTCAGACAAGGGGGGAGGTGAGCTCAAACAAGGGGGGAGGTGAGCTCAATCAAGGGGGGAGGTGAGCTCAAACAAGGGGGGAGGTGAGCTCAATCAAGGGGGGAGGTGAGCTCAAACAAGGGGGGAGGTGAGCTCAGACAAGGGGGGAGGTGAGCTCAAACAAGGGGGGAGGTGAGCTCAAACAAGGGGGGAGGTGACCTCAGACAGGGGGGGGAAGGTGAGCTCAGACAAGGGGGGAGGCGAGCTCAGACAAGGGGGGAGGCGAGCTCAAACAAGGGGGGAGGTGAGCTCAAACAAGGGGGGAGGTGAGCTCAGACAAGGGGGGAGGTGAGCTCAAACAAGGGGGGAGGTGAGCTCAATCAAGGGGGGAGGTGAGCTCAAACAAGGGGGAAGGCGAGCTCAGACAAGGGGGGAGGCGAGCTCAAACAAGGGGGGAGGTGAGCTCAAACAAGGGGGGAGGTGAGCTCAATCAAGGGGGGAGGTGAGCTCAAACAAGGGGGGAGGTGAGCTCAGACAAGGGGGGAGGTGAGCTCAAACAAGGGGGGAGGTGAGCTCAAACAAGGGGGGAGGTGACCTCAGACAGGGGGGGGGAAGGTGAGCTCAGACAAGGGGGGAGGCGAGCTCAAACAAGGGGGGAGGTGAGCTCAAACAAGGGGGGAGGTGAGCTCAAACAAGGGGGGAGGTGAGCTCAGACAAGGGGGGAGGTGAGCTCAAACAAGGGGGGAGGTGAGCTCAAACAAGGGGGGAGGTGAGCTCAGACAAGGGGGGAGGTGAGCTCAAACAAGGGGGAAGGTGAGCTCAGACAAGGGGGGAGGCGAGCTCAAACAAGGGGGGAGGTGAGCTCAAACAAGGGGGGAGGTGAGCTCAAACAAGGGGGGAGGTGAGCTCAAACAAGGGGGGAGGTGAGCTCAGACAAGGGGGGAGGTGAGCTCAAACAAGGGGGGAGGTGAGCTCAAACAAGGGGGGAGGTGAGCTCAGACAAGGGGGGAGGTGAGCTCAAACAAGGGGGGAGGTGAGCTCAGACAAGGGGGGAGGTGAGCTCAATCAAGGGGGGAGGTGAGCTCAAACAAGGGGGGAGGTGAGCTCAAACAAGGGGGGAGGTGAGCTCAAACAAGGGGGAAGGTGAGCTCAGACAAGGGGGGAGGCGAGCTCAAACAAGGGGGGAGGTGAGCTCAAACAAGGGGGGAGGTGAGCTCAGACAAGGGGGGAGGTGAGCTCAAACAAGGGGGGAGGTGAGCTCAATCAAGGGGGGAGGTGAGCTCAAACAAGGGGGGAGGTGAGCTCAGACAAGGGGGGAGGTGAGCTCAGACAAGGGGGGAGGTGAGCTCAAACAAGGGGGAAGGCGAGCTCAGACAAGGGGGGAGGTGAGCTCATATAAGGGGGGAAGGTGAGCTCAGATAAGGGGGGAGGTGAGCTCAGATAAGGGGGAAGGTGAGCTCAGACAGGGGGGGAAGGTGAGCTCAGACAGGGGGGGGAGGTGAGCTCAAACAATGGGGGAGGTGAGCTCAGACAAGGGGGGAGGTGAGCTCAGATAAGGGGGGAAGGTGAGCTCAGATAAGCGGGGGAAGGTGAGCTCAGATAAGGGGGGAGGTGAGCTCAGACAAGGGGGAAGGTGAGCTCAGACAGGGGGGAAGGTGAGCTCAGACAGGGGGGGAAGGTGAGCTCAGACAAGGGGGGGGAAGTGAGCTCAGACAGGGGGGGAGGTGAGCTCTGGTTTGTGGGGGGAATTCCCGCTCTGGTCCCATGCTCACTCCCCCTCAATCATGCTTACTACCCCCTCCCATGCTCCTCTCAATGCAATTATCCTGCCTGTACCCCGCTCCTAGCCCTTCCTTTTCCCAGCTGGTGGGGCGGCTGGTTTTCGAGCGGGAGAAGGGCGCTGAAAGGAGGGAACGAGGGCACGGAAGGGGGGCTGGAGGGCACTGGGGGAGAGGAAGGAGGGCTCAGCAGGGAGCGCACGCCCCACTCACTCTCCACGCCCCCACCCCCACTCATCTGCCCTCCCACTCCATTGCAGCGTCCCCATGCCTTCCCTCCCCAAGCCGGGGTCCCCATCTCGCCTGGTCTTTTCCTGTCTTCCATGCTTTCCCCCCAACCCATGCTCCACCCCCCACTACCCCTCCCCCCTCACCCATTATGTCCCCGCTTCCCGCTTCCCGCTCGGAGGGCTTTTGTCACGCTGGAAAGAGGGGGGGGGGGGGGGGGTTAGAAGGGCTCTGAAAGGGGGATAGGGAGGGCTATGTATTGAGGGGGGGGAGGAAATCGGAGGGGGAAGGGTTAACTCTGAAGGGGGGAAGGGGAGGAGGAGGGCTCTGGAGTGGGGGAGGGGAGGAGCAGGGCTCTGGAGTGGGGGAGGGGAGGAGGAGAGGAGGGCTCTGGAGTGGGGGAGGGGAGGAGGAGGGCTCTGGAGGGGGGGATGGAAGGGAACTGTTTGGGGGGGGGGGGAATCTGGCTCTGGAAGGGGGATCACCCATGCTCTCGCCCCCTGGCTCGTGCTCTCCCCCAATCACCCTTGCTTTCCCCCTCTGCCCCATGCCCTCCCCTCCACCCCCTCTCTCTCTCCCATCCGCCCTTCTCCCTCTGAGTTCTTTGCATACGTCCAACCCCCCCTCCCTCTTTTCTCCTACCCCCTGCTTCCAGCACACCCCTTACTTCCATCCCGCCACAGTAGCTGGGTTTGTGGTAGAATGAGACATGGCTGTAGGGCGTGCTATATTGTAAATAGATCCCTGTTGCTCGGCTAGAAAAAGCGCTCTATCTGCTTGGCTGTCCATAACATGAGCTCGCGTTCAATTTTTAACTACGTCTGTGAATGGAATTTAGTGCTCTGCTACTCTTGAGATGTAATGTATTTCATTTTCTCACAATGTCATCACACTGTAAGGGCTTTTCATAATACTTTGACCGTTACAAACAGTTACCTTTTTGGGGCATTGGTAGTTTACTGTTCCTTGCTGGAACAGTTCCGTAATCACCCGGATAGACGCCCCTCCGTAGGATAAGTCCCATAGGCTTTATCTTGTGCTTTGGGCCTTATAGCTATCATTTAATTAAATGCCCCCCCTATTTTTAGAAAGTGTGTACCCTATATGCCCCTCTTTTATTTCGTAAAATACTGTACAAAAACGATGGAACGAATTCGGGTAATAGCGAGAAGAACAATTTGCGCCCTTCGGCTCTTCGCGCCAGCAAGATTCGCGTCAGAGCGGCCTGTTTCCAGCTTGGCACATTGCCGACTGGACTTCTAGCGCGATGGATGTGAGAATTTCCGTAAAAAGTGATCCCATTTGCATGAAACAAAGCAAAAGCTACAATCTGATGTAGAAATATCAATTCGCCTATATACATTTTTAAACGCCCATGGGCGTTTATTTTTTATTCAATTAAACGCCCCCCCACATTTTCAAACCAGTCCTATAAACGCCCCTAGGGCAGGGCTCCCGTTATCAGACCAAATCGGTCTGATGGTCTGAAAATCAGACCGGGTTTTTATGTTTCATCTGATTTTTTGACGAGCCAAATATATTCGTCTGATTGTTCAGACAAGTTATAAGAATTCGTCTGAAACATCAGACCAGGTGTACACATTCATCTGATTTATCAGACTGGCCGTTTTTTTCCGTCTGATACCGACAAACCCACCCTTCTAGCAGCAGGGCCACTACTAGTCCACGTGCCCACTGGGCCACTGCCTGCCACCTGGTCCCATGTGCACCGCAGCACGCGCATTCAATTCTACCCCGAGCGCGGCAGCAAAACAGTCCAGCGCACATAAACAGTCTGAATTCTCAGACACGTGCGTGCATTTCGTCTGAATCGTAAGACATGAAAAAAAAATCCGTCTGACGGTCAGACGAAGCTCTAAGTACCCGTCTGATTTTCAGACTGCCCTAAAAACTAGCAGGAGCCCTGCCCTAGGGGCGTCTATCCAGGTGATTACGGTAAAAGAGTGACGAGTCTGCCACCCTTCTCCCCAATTGCCAAAGGACTGGTGAGCAGGTCTTCAGATTGGATTTTGAGGGGCTGATGGCTCAGGGTGACCCCAGCAGGAGCCCCCGTTTTTCAGGTTTAGGTTTTAGAAGTAATGATCAGGACTGAAAAAAATCAGAGCTGAGATGATAGGGTTGAACCTTGGCGATTTTTTAAGGTGGGTGGGATTTTAACCTAGCACATTATGCTAGACATGGCATGTTTTTGTTATGAAGCTAGGTTAGCTAGGAAGGTAGGCGGCCATGAAATGGCGAGAGGTTTAGGAGCTAGGAGAGAAAAGAGAGCAACTAGAAGAGAGAGAGGCATACAAGGAGGGGGGTTGTACCCTCTACAGTAAAGTTCAATAACCTACCAAGCCTACCAATTATATATCACATTATATAATTTAACACACTCCCTAGGCTTGGTAGTCACAAGCTCACCCAACACACACACCCCCTAACCCCTTACACCCCCGAGCTCGCGATCAGCCGGGTATCTACCCCTCGGGCTTGGCATGGTGACATCCCCCGGCGAGAGGCAGCGCGGGCTACGGCCATGGCTGAAGGCTCTCGGCGGTGTGGCATGGCGAGGCGACGACGGGGTAGAAGACAGCAGCTGCGGCAGGAGGAAGAGGAGACGCAGGGGAAGGTGGGGGGGGGGGGGGGGGGCGGAGGGGCGAATCTTCAACCACGCGCCATGGCTGGCGCGGTGCTTACTTGCGGACGAATCTTCAGCGGCGTGCCATGGGTGGCGCGGCGCTTACTGGCGGGAGGGCGTCACGGCTGGCACCTGGGACAGGGCACTGGCCGCAGCCGTCCGTGCGCTGGCGTGGCGAAGCCGCCACGGCAGCACGACGGCACGGCGGCACGGCACCCCAGCAGCACGGTGGCATGATGACACAGCGGCACGGCGTCGCTGAGGCACGGCGGCACGGCTCAGAGTTTCGGCGGCGCAGAGTGACGGGGCCGGTGCGGCGTGACGGGGCTGGCGCGGAGTTACGTGGCCGGCGCGGAGGGACAGGCCAGCGGAGAGTGATGGGGCCGGCGCGGCGTGATGGGGCTGGCGTAGAGTGACGGGGCCGGCGCAGAGTGACGAGGCCCGCGCGAAGTTACGGGGCCGGCGTGGAGTGAGGGGGGCCAGCACGGCGTGACGGGGCCAGCACGGAGGGACGGGGCCAGCGCGGCGTGACGGGGCCAGAACCGCGTGACGGGGCCAGCGCGGCGTGACGGGGCCAGCGCGGCATGACGGGGGGAAGTACGCTGCGGAAGCGTGAGGAGAAGGCCCGAGCGAAAGTGGCCTGCTCTGAAACCATGTTATGAAGCTAGGTTAGCTAGGAAGGTAGGCGGCCATGAAATGGCGAGAGGTTTAGGAGCTAGGAGAGAAAGTTACAAGAGAAAAGAGAGCAACTAGAAGAGAGAGAGGCATACAAGGAGGGGGGTTGTACCCTCTACAGTAAAGTTCAGTAACCTACCAAGCCTACCAATGATATAACACATTAAATAATTTAACAGTTTTGTCAGGCCAAAAAAAAAAAAAAAAAAAAAAAAAAAAAAAAAACCTGACGCATCTGGTACATTTTTTAGGTTTCTGATATCAGAGTTAGAAGTGTTGAATAGAATGAGAGCATACAGAGAGTAAACGCCTTGGATGGACGCCCCTCCATAGGATAAGTGTCGTGGCACTGGGATAACCCTGTCGATCCTGTCTCTATCTCTACGGAGGGTATTGGAGAGGCCTTCCTCGGGAAAGGTGGATATATGGAGCCTAACCCGCCTGATGACATCCCTTATTGTCCTAGTGGTTAGAATTGGTGACTTTATGGCTTGGTATCAGAGCCATCCGGGGTTCAATTCCTGGTGTACACGCTATCCCAGCAGGGGGGTGTGTCGTGGCACTGGGATAACCCTGTCGATCCTCTCTCTATCTCTAGGGAGGGTACTGGGGAGGCTTTCCTCGGGGAAGGTGGATATATGGAGCCTAACCCTCCTGATGGCATCCCTTCTTGTCCCAGTGGTTAGGACTGGTGACTTTATGACTGTAAGTCCCATGGGCTTTATCTCGTGCTTTGGGCCTTATAGCTAGGGCTGACGTTACCAGACTATTTAGTCTGATTAGTCTGAATTTTCAGACCCTAATGTTGGCCAAACCTGAATTATCAGATTACCCATTTTCCCAATCCTAATCACTTGAGAGTACGAATTTAGGGATCCTGAAAATTTCAGACTTCTTGCTAACCCAGTACTGAGTTTTCAGAGCACAGCGTGTACAGACCCTGAACCAGATGCACCTTCTACCAACCTGTGACCCAGAAAAATTATGCGAAATCCCCGAACGCTAGAGACATTCCCCACACACCCCACAACCCATCGAAAATTTAGGCCAAGTCCCCAAACGCTAGAGACATCCCCCCCACACACAACCCATCGAAGATTTTGGCTAAGTCCCCGAACGCTAGAGACATCCCCCGCACACCCCACAGCATATCAAAAATTCGGCTAAGTGGGGTTATCAGACATAGTCACCCTAACACCCCGACCCAAACAGCCAAAAAAATTGGCTAAGTCTGAAACAGAACTATAACAGATATGAGGGTGAGCTGGGCACGGGGAGAAGGCAAACGAAATGGAGCGGAAAGGGGGAGATCAAAACGGATGGAAGGGGGGAAGCGAAACGGAGGGGGAGGGGGGATCGAAAATGGAGTGGGAGGGGGGGATCAAAACTACCCGTAGGGATAGGGGGCAAGCTGGGCGAATAGAGCGGTGGGAGAAACTTTGCGCCCTTGCAGAGCCCCGGTTGGGATATATTGGACGTCAATCTTTAGCGACCATCGAACGGTCGAAACATGTCGAAACGATCGCAATCGATCGAGGCCGTCAAATTTGGATAGACTTTCAATTGACCAAACAGGCAACGGGCGAGAATGTCCCTAAAAGGGACGAGTATTCGAAAATAATTGTTTCGTCTCTCCCTGCCTAGGGGCCAAAACATTTTCATGCTCTGGCATCGTCGTCAGTATCCTTAAAAGTTTCGTAAATTTCACTCTCTATTTTTTTTTTACTCTGGTTGTACTCGCTGGACTCTGAGAAAATCAGACAAGCTTAGTTCTGGACTCTGACGTTTCAGAGTACCGAAATTTTGGCTTAAGGCCCTTCAGACTCTTTTTTTTTTACGGGGGGTTGGCTCGGAGTGGTTTTTTTTTTAACGTCAACCCTGCTTATAGCTATTATTCGATTAAACGGACCCCCCCCCCCCCCCCCCCCCTATTTTTAGAAAGTGTGTACCCTTTACGCCCCGCTTTTATATCGTAAAACACTGTACGAAAACGACAAACGAATTCGGATAATAGCGAGAGTCCTCACCCTGTGCCAGCCAGAAGCGCAATTTGCACCCGTCGGCTCCTCGTGCCAGCAACATTCGCGTCAGAGTAGTCTGTTTCCAACTTGGCACATTGCCGACTGGACTTTCAGCGTGATGGATGTGAGAATTTTCGTCAAAAGTGATCCCATTGCATGAAACAAAGCAAAAGCTACAATCTGATGAAGAAATATCAATTTGCTTATATCCCTTTTTAAACAACCATGGCCGTCTCATTTCTATTCAATTAAACGCAACCCCACGTTTTCAAACCAGTCCTACAAACGTCCCTTTGGGCGTCTATCCGGGTGATTACGGTAGCTAGTGGGTTGTACTCTCTATGGCAAGACCCTATGTAGTCTATTAAACATACACAAACATGTTTGACACACCCCCTAGACTAGATAGGGGCAGAGCCTGGTGAGAGACAAACAGCTCAGGGCGGCACTACTAGTCCAGCCACTGGGAGAAAGCCACAAGGCCAGATAGGATAATATATAAAGAGTTATGCTCAATCAAGGTCCTAGCAAA